TTTAATATTTTATTGTGAATTATTTGATAGTTTATATGGGAGAACACTAGCTTTATATTCATCCTATCATATATTGTTACATTGCCTTGGTTACAATCCCCTCCATGCATCATCAACCAACCAAATGGTATACCCCACAAGCCTGCCCTCCAGTCGTCAGCATACAGCCCATCTCCCTCTCTGGGTCTAGCGTCCCCAGCCGTTCCATCTCTCCACATCATCGTCTCTGCTTCCATCTCTGGAGTTACTGTTTCTCTGGGTAGGGTCCCACACTCCACTCTTCTCCCTTGATGGTCCCAGGTGCCTCTGATCCTGGACTGCAAAGTCAATCACTCCCCTCCTTTTGCTACAAAATGTCTACCTTTACATTTCCAACCCTCACAGTCGACTCTGTATATCTTAATGGGTTTTTGGATGGCAAAAATGGTTACTAATCAGAAAGAAGGTCAACAGTTCGAACACATCCAGAGGTGTGTTCTGGCAAGAAAAGCCTGGCATCTATATCTAAAACATTGCTGTTAAGTACCGTGGAGTCGGTTCTGACTCATAGTGACCCAAATAGGGTTTCAGAGGCTGCAAATCTTTACAGGAGCAGACCGCCTCATCTTTCTCTTGCAGAATTGCTGGTAGTTTCAAACTGCCAGAACTTGAGGTTAGCAGCCTGATTCATAACCACTACGCTACCAGAGCTCCTATCTAAAACATTAGCCTCTGAAAACTCTATGGAGCTTGGTTCTAATCTGAAACACTTGAGGTCCTCATGAGTGGATATCTCAACAATTTTTATTGGTTTTTGTTTGTTTGTTTGTTTATGGAGGGAGCCTACTTAGGGAAATCATGCAGGGTCTCTCTAAGGAGGTGACTATTAAGCTAAAACCTGAAAGGTGAGAAGGAACCAGGCTTGCAAAGAATCAGGGTGGAGAGCCTAAAACCTGAAGTGCAGTACTTGGCAAGACTGAGGAAAAACCTGGAGTGACTGGGCCCTTTGTAGCCAAGGGGAAAGTGACTTGTATAGGGTTAAGGAAGCAGGTGGGGACCAATTTGTGTACAGGAGGAGTATGGATTCTGAGGAAAATGGAAAACATTGGAAAAAAATTTTAACCATTTCAATAAATAACATTATGATAAATGGAGAAAAGATTAAAGTTGTCAAAGACTTTATTTTGGTTAGATCTTTGATCTTTGAAAAAGCAGTCAGAAAATGAAACCATGTATTGCACTGAGTAAATCTGCTGCAAAAGACTTCTTTAAAGTGTTCAAAGAGCAAAGATATCAGTTTGAGGACTAAGGCGCTCCTGACCCAAGCCATGCTATTTTCAGTCACCTCAGATGCATGTGAAAGTTGGACAGGAAAAAAGGAAAATGGGGAAGAATTGATGCATTTGAATTATGGTGTTGGAGAAGAATATTAAAAGTACCATGGACTACCAGAAGAACAAACAAATGTGCCTTGCAAGAAGTGCAGCCAGAATGCTCCTTGGAAGCAAAGATGGCAAGACTTCTTCGTCATTCATTCTGTGGACATGTTGTCAGGAGGGATCAGTTTCTGGAGATACATAATGCTTGGTAAAGTGGAGGGTTGGTGAAACGAGGAAGATCCTGCCCCCACAACCTGATGGATTGACACAGTGTCAGTGGACTCAGACATAACAATACTTGTGAGAATGTTGCAGGCCTCAGCAGCATTTTATTCTGTTGTACATGGTGTCACTATGAGTCAGAACTAACTCTCCAGCACCTAACCGCAACACTAGTTTCAATTTACTCGCTTGTGTATTTGTCCATTGTCTCTTCCCCACTCACCCGCCAAGGTAAACTCTCTTGAGATCCATTATACCCATCATTCCTAGCACCCAGCTCTGTGCCTGGCGCTTAGTAAGTGATCAATAAATTTTGCTGAGAAGTATGGATAGGAGAAGTATGAGGGACAAGAAAATAGACGATTGTGGGAGAAGAAAGGGGTGGGTGGGATTTCTTTCAGCCATGATACAAGTTTCTGAGGTCTCTG